GGCGGGTATCTTGTGTAATTCCTTGAAGAAGGAGGAGAGAGAAATAATCTTCCAACCGCCGCCGCCACGGGACCTGCGCCTGCGACCCTGTGCACCAAACGTTAGGTCATTCAATGTCAACTGGATCACGGTCGGCAAGCCCTCAGGCTTTATCTTTCATTGACTCCGGACGTGGAAACCTACGATGCATATATATTATGCCAAATATTTTGGATTCTCGTCTGAGTTCTATTCATTCCATAATTTGTAGGTATTTAGAATGTCCAATAACATTGTCCATAGATTTGTCTTCAAACAACGTAAGTATGTTCATATTATTGAGAAAGTTTCGAGGAGGAAGACAGTATCCAATCTCAATAACTTTTTATGAGAATACCATTCTTAGGGAACAATTCCTACCTAACAAACCTACATTTCGTTATAGGTATACTGCCGATATGCGCAGTGAGTCAGAGAATTCTCCGATGATTTTTCTCTGTCTGCCACCGTCTTTTCTTTTTTTACGAGGGTAGGTGGAATGTTCAATAGACACTGGGTAGCCCGTACTACCCAGCGACTGAGATTTTTGTTCACTACAACCAAATCTTTCATCTCGTCCATCCTCTCCGCAGAACCGGCTACAGGATTTACATCGCGGGGTGTGGAATAGTGACTCAGTCACATGAAGTTAGTCAAGGGAGGTATCAGAGATATCCCTCGCTCCATGCTTTGCAATTCCAGTAATACCTCTTGTGCTAATTTACACATCGACCTCCCATAGCTTTTAGAAACAAGCATACTTGCAACTGCGTTTTCCGGAGTCATCTGTCCTATACCAAGTATCTCAGCAGTGATCGTCGAACGTCGTGATCGTCTCAGGTGCGAAACGTGGGCACTGAAGAATCATGTGCTCAGCATCTTCGCCATCAGGTTCGCACTCAGGACAATGTGGAGAATCATCCTGTTTGAACCTGTAGAATTAGGCTCTAAAGCAACCATGCCCCATTAAAAGCTGCGTGAGGGGAAAAAACTTACCCCACCTTGCTTTCGACTGATGCACGATTCCACTGTAGGAATCAGTCTTCCCTTGTAGAACTTGTCCCATCGCTGTTGCCATTCTGTCTCTGTGTCTGTGTCTCTGTCTCTGTGTCTCTGTCTCTGAGTCTCTGTCTCTGAGTCTCTGTCTCTGAGTCTCTGTCTGTCTCCTGTTCCCTCTGTCGTCTGCTCGTCTCTCTGTTCCCTCCGTCGTCTTTTCCTCTCTGTTCTGTCTCTTGTTTCCTCTCTGCCTGTCTCTGTTTCCTCTCTGCCTGTCTCTGTTCGCCTCTCTAGTGTCTCTTGTCTGAGCGGGGAGGGCGGGTGTGATTGGGGCGGCTGCAGAGGCGGCGGCGCAGGGTGACGAGCGGGGGCGGTGGGGTGACGGGAAGGCGCTCGAGCGGGGCGAGTGGCGGGCGCGGGCGAGTGGCGGCGCGGGGCGAGTGGGGCGCGGGGCGAGTGGCGGGCGGGGCGACGATGGCGGGGCGGGGCGAGTGCGGCCGGCGCGGGGGTCGGGGGGCGGGCGAGTGGGCGGGGCGGGGCGAGTGGCGGCGCGGGGCGAGTGGGCGGGCAGGGCAGCGAGCGGTGGCGGGGAATGCGGGCGAGAGCGGCAGAGGGCGCGGGCGTCTGGACAAGAGGCGGGCGGCCCGCAATGGCTGTGGTGTGACCCAGATGCTGAGCTATCGATCGGCAAGCAGCTGAGCCTCAGCTGGGAGGGGAGGTGGCATCAGGTGTGTGAGCACCGAGACAGAAACAGAGAGAGCATCTTTCTCTGAGGAAAAAAAAACTACTACTGACTAATATTATTGTCATTAAGATTATTAAAAACTAATTTTATGGAAATCCGCATAATTGAAAAGATTGTGCGCGGTTAATGCTTGAACATTTATCTATTTAGTAATACATGTATCATACTAAAACCGTGTCAATATAACATACATGGAAAAGTATGATAAGGATAACAATATTCCTGTATTAATATACGCGTCTGGGCCGTAAAACACCATAGAGTTGCAACGCCTACTTTCACATTCTTTGCTCGCAATGCAAAATAGCAAATACTGTAATCTATTAATCACATTAACTCATACCCACTGTCATTATGACAAACACTTTCTCATCTGAACGCAAATACAATATAGATCTCTATTTGACTTAAAATTAAACTGAAACAAGTACCAGTAATATCATCCGACTATATTACACTATATCGCAATATTCTATATATACTATAATATTAATTATATATAATTTTTCGTACCTCAATGGGTGCGATCCCATACATTTATTTCGAGCAAGGGACAGGTGTCTTGTGTCATGAATTGGTCTCTGCAAGGTTGACGGAAACATTGAGAAACTTAATCGTCATTTTTTAAACAAACAAACAACCACTTTATTACCAAAAATCCCAAATTTGTAGCATCAAACTCCGCTTTGATCGATCTCGTTTTCGAACTCGACGACACAACACTATTACCGTTAGCATCAGATTACACCAATACCTTGAATGCAGAATGAAACATTCTAGTTTGCCTTCTCGTCTCGCGTCCCCGAGCCGCAAGCCCACGCTCGACGGCGGCCTTCGGCGCCCTCTGGGCGGCCCTTCGGACGGTCGGACCTTCGCTGGGGAGACCAGAGGTCCCAGGCTTATATAGCAACGGGCCCACAGCAAACACACATCTCAGTGCTGACGCCCGACGTATCCGTGAATGTATTGTCGGGTTTCGGCACTGCACTAACCCGCCTCTGACTATTACATGTCCCACCGTGTTCTTCGTTGGTAATATCATTTCTCCTTGCAGGCACAGCCTACCATTCTTAACTTCGTTGTACTTCTCACCATTACACTCCATTGTTTGTTTTTATTGTAATTAATTTAAGAGAGGCCACGTATCATAATAAAAAAAAGTCGGTTTTATTTTTTAATTAAACTTTGTAAAAATCATTATAATTATCATCATCATCAATTTTTTAAAGTAAATGTTTATTACCAAATGTTTTTTGACATTATTATTAACTAATTTCCCATTCCCGTTCCAGACAGACGCTGAGACGCGTAAGGTTACAATATATAGTATATATATATATATATTAATATATATATATATATATATATATATTTGGTCGTAATGTTTAAATTTTTTTATGTCCAATGAATTCGCTTGTTAAAATGCGAGTAAAGAACCTAAAATAACGTTGGTGACAAAATTCAGATGTCAGAGCGCCAATTTCGCCGATACAACTCCCATAGAACGTGGGGGGGGGGGCACTCCAGAGCATCACCTTCTTACACGAACTAAAATACCAACTGCTACCAACGTTATTTAAATGCACGTGGGTTCTCGGGACGCAAACGCACGCGCTTGATACAAGAGATCGCGCCGCTGTTCGCGCTACCTTATCTTTCATGCGTGCATTATTATGAATAAATGAATTTTAGAAGATACACTCATAGTATTTAAACTTGTTTGTAATTTATTTCAGAAATTGCTCATAATCAAAGTGTATTCCTATTCCTTGACCAATTTTTATGGGCGAAAGTTGCCAGCAGCAGTATCCGGCGACACTAGTGCATCCTATATAGCAACCCCTAGCTTTCGTCACCAAACCCCCTTTATTTTGTTTGGTGGAGAGGTGCCGGGCCATGGCTTCCAGCCTGGGGCGTTTGATATTTTAAACATTCTTGAAAACTCCGGGAAAACGTGTGGACGCAGCTACATTTAAGCTTGAAATGTAGATGTTTGAATGAGTTATTTTCGCGGAGAACGCCCCCGAGACCAGGGTAAATGTGGCCAGCCCTGCCGCTGGTGGCGGAGTCCCGGAACGAAAATTCTCTCCCGGCCCTTTCCTTCGTCGGAGGCCACTGCAGCCTCTTCCTTTCGCATCCTCCCCACGGTGCTTTTACTTCCTCGCTATTGATTGCGCAGAAGAGGGAACGTATTGTGATCGTGCGGAAAACGACAAATTTTCGACAGAAAACCTCTTCTTGCCGCGCCTTGGTAACGAAAAAATTTGATAAATCTTGCCCCAACATGTAATGAATTACTTCTTCTACCGCGCTGTGCAGTCAGAATCAGTTTTGCGAGTCCTTGAAACCGAAAACTCGAGTGACAGCGAAACGTCTGCTTGACTTTCCGTCTGAGTAACGGTAGTGGCTGTGCCGATTGACATCAACTTGAAACCGATGTTTTAATGGGGGGGGGGGGTCGTGAACCGCCTGGGACATTTTCATATCTCACCAAAAAAGCAATATTTTTTAAAAATGAATTATGTTCTCGGATATCGTAAAGGGGCGTAAGTTAATGGTGCAGGCCTAATTGTCGCTGAAATTCCTGATTTTTAGAAAATTGCAAAAATTCCCACTTCTTTCGGTGTCTTGTCACAACTACAATTATGAAGATGATTTATTTGGGTTCATCAGAATCAGATCATCAAATAAGGTCGTGATCAATTTTTCGAATATTTGAGAATTTTTTGCGCGAAACACAGACAGTATTTAAATTTTAAACACATTTTCTCAGAAATGGCTCCAAATATTTTCCTTTGATTTGTTTCTCGTATGTAGCAAAGCTCAGTGAAGACATTGGAGCTTATCCCATTTTCGGTGCACTTAAGCGGCGATAGATAGCACCTGGAAAGAATGTGAGGAAAACCGAGAAGCCCATGCTAAAGGGACTAGGAAATTTAATACTAAAAAAATTGTGCCATTCTATAGCACTACTAGTTTTTTATACTTTAATCTAAATTTTCAGATTAAACTATAATAAACGAGTAGTGCTCCAAATGTGCATTAAATGTCATACGTTGCATTTCGCAATGGTTCAGGACTCACAAGTGAACAGGAATGTTATTATATTTTCTCGTGTAAGTTTCTAAGTAGCATGAATGAGTAGCATATTCAAACTGATTGACATGCTTAAAAATATTTTTTTCTTTTCTGTCTTAATTCTTGGTTGTTTGATTTTAATTGTGGATTTTTCTTTCGTCAGGTAAATGGTGAACTGCTGTGGAAAACCAGCGTCTTAATAACTTCTGATTGTTGCTTGAGTGCTGTGGTGAGTATCTTGAAGAAATGACGAAAGTGTTAGATGACAATGTTCTCAAGCACTTACTAGTTATGTACTGCTTTTCTTGGAAGAAATGCCACTCAGGGCATGTAGGGTTGAAAGGCAAACATATTTTGCCAACGATCATATGGTGAGAAATTTCATATCACGAGTTTACATCACAGTATACCATTTATATAGTACCGCTGCTCCATGTTAAAAGTCCTTTGACGTCGTGTTGGTCAGCGACACTAGCGATCCGCGCGGCGGTCAAGGAATACTACGGAGCCTTACAATTCGTAGTATAGCATCGTGCTGCGAAATCTAACCAAAAAGTATGTTTTTATATATATTTTACTTTCTTTATGAATATACTAATAACATGTGAAGTATATGTTGTGGACAATTTTTAAAAGACGATATTATTTAAATATAATGAATGTTGTCCGTTGAAAGTGAATAGTAGAATCATGAAGGGAAAAAAAGTATTTATTTACTGTTCATGAAAATACCAAGAAATGTAAGTAATCTAAGTAGTAAATAAGATTATCTAGGAAGTAATGGCATTGCTGTTAGTAAGTAATAACAAATTTCAGTCTTTTCTTTCTAAGTCTATTGAACAAGTAAATCAGTAGAGTGACTGAATGGCACAGACTTTCTTGTAGTACAGTTTTCTAATTTCTTTGGCGTGGACTGGCTTTACGGTCTTGTCCTATCCGCTTGCTAACTTCCATCTATCGCCGCCCAAAGTACATTTTTGTGAAATTTTGTAAATATTTTGGATTTCTAGTAGTAGAACCGAATTATAACTTTAAGAATATTAAAGAAGAGATACGTCGTCCTAAATGGAAGTCAATGGAAACGTTGGAGCCGTTTTTAAGAAAATGGCGTTGAAGTGTTACTGTAAATTCGAAATTTGAATTTATTTTCACAGAAAACTATTGAGTTTTTGTAAAATTTCATAAAAGTCCTATCAAGTACTACCAGACACAAAAGCAATGCACAAATGCTTGAAATATGCAAAATAAAGGCGTGAGAGATTAAAAAAATATATTTGCGTGATTAAAAAAAAGAATGTAGTAAAATAAACTTTGTAACATATTAAACAGTGCAATTAGTACTATACGTTGGAAAAGTTTGAAGAACAAATTTGGAGCCATTTTCCAGAGAATATTGTTTTTGATATTTTTTAATATTGCACATATTGCAGGCAATATTGCGGGGAAAGCTACTAAAGTTGTTAAAATATGTGCCTGACCTTAATGAAAGAACTAATTAAGGAGAAAAAAGATTTGAAGGAAAAATATGAATCTTCAATTTTGTAGCTGTAGGAAGTCGCCTAAAATAATTCAAACTTTTGCAATTATCGAAAATTCAAAGATAACAGTGAAAATAGGACATATGCCACCTTTATAAGTTTATTTTACTATTTTTCTTACAAGAGATTTAAAGAAAAGATTTTGAGCCATTTTCGAGACAATTTGAAAATGTCCCAAGGTCTACATGTAAAGTACCCCCAAAAATTAATGAATGTTTTTCAAAATCGCAGAGCTTCGACTCAGATCAAATGGACAGGGGTTTCTTCAATTTAGAAAAATCCCTATGCATGGTTTAGGCGCTAGAGATGTTCACATACACCAGACGGACGGGTGGGGTTTCTTTTCGGTAGTAGTAACTAGTGCTACAGAATTGCATGTATATACAGAATTGCATATATTTCTTGTAGTAAAAATTTATAATTTAATTGGTGTGGGATAGCTTTACAGTCTTGCCCCCATCCTCTTGACGGCTACCATCTATAGCCGCCCTAAATTCATTTTTTGAAACTTTTTTTCGGTTTCGTAATGTTGCATTCGAAATATTACTTGAAGAATATTATAGAAGAGTAAAACCTCGTCGTATATGGAAAATTTCGTTGAATCTTTTTTTGAAAACTACTTTTTTGAAAACTTGGTACCACGTTGCACCACTGCGTGCGCTAATGCAGCGCGGAATAGTCCGGACGAACGCTACTATGAGCGCCAGCATCGTCCCTAAGGGCCAGTGAGCGAGCCATGCCTCTGCCGTCGCCCCAGCAGGGCCTACCGCCCAGCCCCCCCTCCGCCCCCCCCGGGGGGGGGGGTCAGAAGCGAACACCCCTTCGCCGCGCCACATGAGGCTTCATTGTAACACATCTCCTGGAGGGCGAGACTCGGCATTGTATTCTTTGATTTAGGGTTTTGTAAATAAATTGTTGTTGTAATTTGAAGTTGTCAAATTCTTATTTAGAATACAATAAAATAATTTCATTTTATTAACTGCAACAGAAATAATAGCAACAAAAGTTATGAATGAGTGGAAATCATATCCACATAGTGTTTTTGTACTGTATTTTGAGATATGAATGCGTTTATGTTTTGTATGAATTATATTACCTACAGTTGTCACATTATTTCCATCATTGGCAATTTTTGAAAATGCAAAAAGTTCAACAAAATGAATCTGCGCCATTTTTTAGCGTTATTTTTGAAGAAAAGATTTAAAGAAAAACATAGTCGTTTTTGAGACTTTTGTATAAATGTCATTAATTTCAAACAGAAATTAAGAGAAAATTACTTTCTTTTTCAAAAAAATGTTTAAGAAGTTGAAGATTTAATATTTTAGATCATATTTCATAAAAGAAAATAATCTCTAGCGTCTATATTGTAGTTTCTCAATGTTAATATTTTTGCGATTTTTGAAAATGAGGATAGTTGGCCGAAAACGGGACCAGCATCAATCATTTTACTGCTCTGTGAAACATACGGGTAAAAACGTTTTTTAAAATGGAGCCTTCACTGGACGCGGGCGGTGAGTGTTGGGCGGCACAAACCGAGAGAGCGGAAAGGGCTGGTTGGCAGGACGATCAATGTGGCCCGACAGACGGACGAAGCGTGTGGGCCGGGCCCGAAGCAAGCAAAATCGGCTGGCGGGTGGAGCAGGCGGAGCGGGCGGGGCATAGCGTTGTGAGCGAGAGGGGCGTATAGAGCGCAATATCTGCATGCAGGGTGGGAAGATGCTGCAGGGTCCATGTTATGCCGTGCGCGTGGGGGTGGAACGGCTGGAGCGTGACGAGCGCTGAGGAGTAGATGGAGGGCGAAGGGTGGGCGGGGCTCTTTAACTGACGCATTGTGAGAAATAAATACCCGGCCAACGCCGGGGTATCGGCTAGTTTGCTTCATATTGGAACAATCATCCACTTTTTCGACCCGACTGTTCTAATTTTTCTATCGAAAAATCGCCGACTTAGGCCGACGCTTTACAGTACTTTCTCCTTCCTACGTGCTCTGTAAAAACTAGGGTGTCAACTGAAAATCAAAGCCAGGACCATGTGACTGGAGGTGAGCATAGAATATGACATGGACTCGACGCCTAAAAGTATGTAATGTTGCAATGTAGTCTTTTATTCAGCTCAGTTTTTGTGACTTTACGTGAATTTACTCAGTTTTTGTGAGTTGCTTACGTGTTATTATTTATTACTGTTCTGAGTTACGCAGTTTACATTACCGTCATTTTATGAAGCCAGAATCCCTATTTTGAGGGCACCTGCTGCCACTGTCTGACTGGGAAATCGGAAATCAGAAATTGAAATATTCCGTGAAATCAGAAACTGAATGATTGTGTAGGAGGTGAAATTACTGATTTCAGCTACAATGCCTTGATTCGTCAATAGTTCTGTTTTGAAAACAAATGCAAATCACCATACTCCCAGGGCATTAATATGGTAAATATGTCTCCGAGGTTAAACTAGTGGTGCTAAATCAGCATGTTCTCTCTCCCCGTATTATCACCTAAAATGACGTGAAAAGTACTCAAATATTCGAAAAATTGCGCAAGACCGTATTTCAAATCAAATTTAAGAAAAAAATTCACCGAGAGAAAAAATCTCTCTCTTTAATATCTTAGTTGTAGGAAGACGCCGAAAAATATTGCAATTTTGCAATTTTTGAAAAATGAGGGGTTTCAACGAACGTGAGATCTGCGCCATTCACTTGAACGTGTTTTACACTATCCAACAACAAAATTTAATTCAAAACGATAGAGCTTCTTTTGAAAATTTGGAAAATGTCCCAGGGGCTTCATGGAAAATACGTCCCCCCAAAATTAAATTAACGGTTTCAAATTGAACGGACAGCGACATCAGCCAGATGGATTGGGGAAGTCAATTTTTGTGGGAAATGGGCTGAACGGTTTGGCCGCTAGCGTTCTCAGACAGACGGATAGACGGACGGACACCCGATTTGCCGTAATTCGATTTTTCGATGTCAAGGACCCACAAAACATAGATTCTTGCTGTACCACGTAATAGAGGATTCCCACACACCTAAATTTAGCAACTGGATTTATTTACTTTTTCGTTCCCAGGGCCCAGTAATTAGAGTTTTTCTGCCAAAACTTCGTCGTTTTTTCGGGCAGCGTTAAATAAATGTCCGTCTATCCCGCAGGGGGAGAGGAGAAAGAGTTGGGGCGGCCGCTGCCGGCAGATACCTCCCCTGACCTCGCCCACCAACCAAAATCAATTCGGGGCGCCAAGGCCGCCCCTGCGCTCGATAGCGCTCCTTGCGTCAGGCGGCGGAACCTCGCCTCGCTACCGGGAATTAAAGACGAGCGACTCCGGAGCGGTGGAAGCATTAACCAGAAATCCATGGCTGTGTGATTTATTTATCGCATGGGTTTAAATATGGGGAGACTGCGCTTAGGCAGTTGTCTGTGTCTGTCTCCTTCTGCCTTTCCGTCTGCCTTTCTGTCCCTGTATCAGCATGTCTGTTCTTGATAGAGAGATTTAAGTCATTAGTTCTTAAGAGGTTAATATACAAGTTGTTAGGTGGACATTTATTGTTACACAGCAATTCGGCTGGAGTTTGAGACCAGTTTTCAAGTGCATATTATAACTTATAAATACAATTCATATGCCGTTGATAACGAATAAAATTTGTGAAACATCAGAAGAAATCTAAAAATAATGCCTAGAAAACTTTTTGTAGTCCTGA